AAAGATTCCCACTTTTAAAGATTCCGCTTTTAAAGATTCTAGGTTTTAAAAATTCCCGCTTTAAATATTAGCCATTTTACAGATTTCCGCTTTTAAAGATTTCTCATTTTAAAGATTACCCATTCTAAAGATTCCCCGTTTTAAAGATTCCCTATTTTAAAGATTCCCCATTCTCCATTCACCATTACCCATTCTCTCATTCCCCATTCCCTCATTCCCTCATTCCCCATTCCTTATTTTAAAGATAGCCAAAGATAAACAACACAAGCAAACATTTACTGCAAAAGCAAGCAAACGGAAAATTGCATACGTTCTAAACAGCACTTGCTCGGTACCTTGATATACATAACTGGGTGTGGACAAAACGTGGGGTAGGCCATGGCATAGGCCATGGTGTAGGCCATGGCCTACCCTGTGGCCAACCCTAAGGCCTACCGGTGGTCAGATTTTAAAACGCACAGCATTGCTGCAAACCTTTCAACGTTTTCCTGACAACTCTCTTACCAAAAACTTTCTTCTGCTGTTTTCGCGGCCACATTGCGATGAAAATTTCTTATCCTTCCGATAGAACAAGGAAATAGAGGAACAGAAGCCGGTTAAACGCAACTTTTGGGCAAACATCATCATATCAGCTCTCCTTTCAAACTATTGCAATACTGGCCCTCTCTTTGCACTTGCATTCAGTTGCGTGACAGAGTGAGGAAAGTTTTTAAATCCAGCGGTCAACCAGCGGTTGTTTTGTATGTCCCCGGTTGCGTGTTGCAAATTCAATACTCTACTGCACTGAAGAGTACTTAAAAAAGTGACCTGGCACGTACTGCTTGCGTTTTCTTACATTGATATGCTGTCTGATGTAACGCCGTTCATTACATTTTTACACTACCACTCCACTATCAGGGATGTAGCTAAAGTTTTTAACAGGCGGGAATTTAGCAATGATAGGCGGGTATTTGAGCTTGGGGTATTTGGGTATTTGAGTTTTTTTATTCATTATTTCGCATACATGAAATACAAATACCACTGGCCATTGAGTGTGCAAAATGGACGATGCGATGCGAATGATGCGATCGTCGCCCTAAATGGAGTGTTTACAATCCTTTCAGTTCAGTTAAGACAGCAATGAAGGTGTAAACAAGCTAAACAAATAAATAACAATACTCTGGCAACATTTAAAAACATTTTGGAGAAAGAAGTAGTGCTTTACAGCAGGAAAAATCACGTTCACAGCCGGGTAATTTTCCCAGCTTCCAGCTATTATCTACATCCCTGTGCATCTATTTGTTATTTACCCACTGCATTGAGTACTTTTACTATGCACTGATTCCCATCTTTCACATATCATTTTTCTTCCCTTCAAGGATGAAGCCAGTGAGTCGCGCATGCGTGCAGCTTGCCTTATCGATGAGGGCCAACGCCTGGTAGACCGTCAGAGTGGTCTTTACTCAGTGTACTCTGATGCCATCCATAAGTACAAATCAAGCAAAGATGCCACTGCCTTTGCTAATGCCCGCAAGAAGTTGGATGGAGATTACCGGTCCATCAGTAATCAGATCATTCAGGTGCAGAGCTCCCTTAACAAGGAACAACCTGAAGCTGCTGAGAAGGTGAAAATAATGTTCTTATTAAAACTTTGAGGGGTCAAATGTTTTGCCTGTATGGTGTAATATACTGTTACCTAGAATGGAAGTTGTTTCATGCATTCACCTTCTTGTTAACATAGATTCCCATCAAAATCCATTTGCCAAAGGTATTCTTTCAAATCATTTTTGCTCGTCATCTCCATCTCTTTTATCATCTAAGAAGTTCAGAAATTGTTTGTGGGTTATAGGTACTGGAAATTAGTAAGGGTTGTATGAAAAGGACCATGAAATTTGACAAGTTATCACTAGTGCCTTTAAGCCTGGGACTTGAAAATACTACATTTATACTTGGACTCGTCTAGTAATTTCCATCACAACTCTGCAGGGAGAGTATAAATGGTGCAAAGTGTTCCCAGGGCTATATACCTTTGCTTGTCATGTTTTGTTTATGGGTTCTCTTATTGACTATCATCAAGCTGTGTACTGTAAACAATACATGTACATGTGTTTTGTTGCACAGACATTTTTTTTGTTGTTTCTTGGTGGGGAAAGAGGGGGGGAGGGGAGGGGAGGGAAGGGGAACACTGATCTAAGGAAGGATATGCATTTATTACTGGGTGCTGACTGGAGCCTCTGTTGTTTCATTTTTATAGCTGACCGACCTTCAGCGGAAAGAACATGAGAAGAAGCAGTTACTGGATGCAGCCATTGTTTTGGCTGAAAAAGTGGTGAATGGTCGCATTAGCAAGCATGGATATGTGGAGAGCGAATCTAACAACAAGGCAAAGAGGGAGAAGCTGAGTGCTGAGATCAAGGCCTTGGCTGCCAGCCTTTGATGAAGTTACTTAGTAATCCCTGTGATGTCAGTTTTAACTATATTAAAGATAATCTGTATTCTGCAACAGAAAGCTTTGAACATCATGCTTCAAGTGTAACTGTTAGAAAAAGTGTAACTGTTAGAATCGTTTTGATACAATTTAAATGAGTTCTCTCATTGTGACTGGATACAATGGCAACCTGATACACTGACTGTGCATGCAATTTCATGTTTTGAGTTGATTGTGTTTGATTATAGAATTTTGTAATGACTAGAGTTCTGTGTAAGGTAGATGATAAAAATGTGAGGGCAAAATATGTTACATATAGTGTAAAGAAAGGTGATAACTTAAATGTCAAAGGCATGTGATGGAGATCTACAGTTGACAGTCTCTGTTATGTTCACCTCAGAGCTAAGTTTGTGAAAGATTTTCACATTGGAGAGAAACCATATCATTGCAAAGTGTCTTACAGCAAGTGTCTTACTTAACCCTTTAATTCTCAGGATTCAATTAGCGATTTTCTCTACCTACTGCCATGATTTCGTTTTGTAAATTAGACAGCAGAATGAATTCTTATTCCAAAATGACACTCTAGCTAATATTCTGATCTGCAAGAAGTTACTGTTAATCACTTCTGGGAGTTGTAGGATTAAAGAGGACACCTTTGAATACATATCGAGCTGGGTTAAAGTTTTAACTCTGACATCATAGCGGTTATTGAAGTGAGCATCAAACTAAAACAACTAAATTTCAAGTGTTTTGCGAGACTTCTCTCGGTTTTCATTTACTTAGGGTTAGTCCCATTTTACCACCTATGTTAACGTGAAACACTGTTAAGTTGTAGCATGGGTCTTTAACCCCTTTATTGTAGCTTCTGCCGAATAAAAATAATATTTTAAATGAATTGTCGATTGAGTTAGTGGAATAATTTATTTCCACCCGTTTTGTGTGATCTCGTGAAGACGTTGCACGGAGGATGAACAAGAGGTATGTTGCAACAACTCACTTTAATCGAAACCACCTGTGCCGCGATGTACAAGTTGTCCGAAGGCGTTCAAAGAGACTTGAAAACTGGTGCAAAAAAATCGACTTGACTCGTTGGATCAGCAAAAGTCCAGCTCACGTGGCACAGGCGTGACAGTGGCCTCAGCCATAACATATGGAAGGGTTACCAAGGTACACCAAACATCTCCCAATTCAGTTCATGGTGTAAGATATGTAATGCTGTGTAGAAGCTAGGAGCAAATGTTAAACGATTGAGTTAATGAATTATTTGACAGGAAATTGGGAAGAAAGTGCTCCGCCGCCTGGTTAGCTCAATTGGGAGAGCGCCGGACTGCTGTGCGGGAGGTCGAGAGTTCAATACCGGCCGGACCAACACTCAGGGTCTTAAAATTAACTGAGAAGAATATGCTTCCTTTCTTTAACATCTAGAAATGGTTAGATATTCTAGTCTTCTCGGATAGGGACGAATAAATGGAGGTCCCGTCTCCTGCAGGGTTAGGGGCAGGAGACGTTAATTTCCCACGCACGAGATTACTGTGTGATGGATGTCCTCCCCTGGGGTGGGATGGGTGGGT